GGGACGAAGTAGCCTTGCTTCTTTCTTCTCTAAAATCCCAAAGGTGTGCTTTGCTTAGAACTCTCTGCCTTTGGACCTCCTCACTAACATTTTTAAAAATTTAATCATTTCTACTATTTTTTAACACTTCCGATCTACTCTTAATATTGGTTTTCAGCTTATAGCATGCCTCTTTTTCAAAAACTTCATGCCTACTAAATAAAATACAAATGTTGCAAGCAAGCATGCAGTGAACTGTGTAATCAGTCCCGGCCTCCAATTTTCTCTTCTTTTCTTTTATTCATAACTTTCATTGTTGTTACTTTTATTCCTAGCAATAATGTCCATGTTCATTTGGGGAAATGTAGGCAATACAGATAAACAAAAAGCAAAAAACTTTAAGTTGATAATTTTCCTCCCACTCAGAAGTAAATGCTGTTGGCATGTATACATGTGCTAATGTACATGAATGTGTATATATATAGGCAAGAATTCATGGGCATAAACTTTTTCTCCATAAAAATAAAACCTACTTTTTTTGGTACCTGGGGTCGAACTCAGGGCCTTGTGCTTGCCAGGAAGGCATGGTATCACTAAGCTACATCCCCAGCCCATAAATCTACTATTTAGGGACCCCCACCCCATACCTAATTTTGTATAGTCACTGTGACCATGCCTCCATGTTGTAAAACACGTTTTTTGGCTGAGAATATTTCATTATTAAGGTGTTTCATACTTTAATTATTGTTAAATCTTTCAGTTTCTTCTAATTCCTACAAACCTTAAAATTATTATAGCTATGCACATATCCATTATTATTTCTTTATATATTCCTTGGGGGGAGGGATTGCTTACTCGAATTGTGTGCAGAATGTTAATACAGAGTATTCTTCTCCCTTATCTCCCATGTCTTTTGTAAACCTCCTATTTTTGCCTTTCTTCCTGCTTTCTTTCTACTACACATACCACTTCTTTGACTTCCAAAGACTCCAATAAGCTTTGAGGCGCTCATACCTTCTGCTCTTGAAATACACCTTCCAGGACTCTGAACTGTGGGAATACTCCCTTTCCTTTGATACTCAGTTTAAACTGCTGAGACTCTTCTTAGCCATCCAGCTCATAAGATATACCCTGATTTATTGAGCACTTATCTTATCATGTTTAGTGTTTCTACCACCTTACGGAGCACCTTACTCTATAACTACCAATATAATGCGGATCTGTTTTTCATGTGTTTTGTCTTATCTTCCCAGTAACAACCTTAGCTCTATAGAACTGGGTCCCTAACTTCAAAGCTATACCTAGTAGGTTAAGTAAACACGTGGCTTTTTTTGATTACCCTCCTCTGAATTCTCTCATTCTCTATTCTTACTCTACCTGAGACACCTGAGGGCATTCAAAGGTTGATTTGGCTTCTTTCACAGCACTTCCTAGGACACCCTCTAGTGGAGGGGTTGTCTCATTGGTACCTGGTAGGAGAAGCAGCATGCTTTGGGTATTCGTTCAGTTGTAACTATTCTTGGGCTAATTCACAGTCAAGCAGCTGACTTGCACTCATTCTGAAAAACTTTGAGAGAGATTTTGAGCATATTGGAAACTAATCTGTCAGACTGAGGGTTTGGGTAGTGTTCTAGGTGTGCATGCGGGTGTGTGTGTTTGTGTGTGAGTGTGTGTGTGTGTGTGTGTGTATATTTTACATATTAAAACTGGCACTCTTCTCTCTTCCTCAAAGGAATCTTTTTTCATGTTTCAGGATTATAGCAGAGACAAAAATGTGCAGGGAAATAAGCAAATCCACACTGGACTTGCTCTGCCTTATCATTTTATTATCAGCTTGTTTGTAATCTGTCTTTTTTTAGGTGACAGGTTATTAAAGAGATGGTTTTAGCTCGACATCTAATGCTTCTTTGTCTAGGCAATTGCACTGTTGTAATCCTCTCCTCCCTTAAAATGGTTACTTGCTAATCATGGTAGAAGATATTCTCCACCTTCCAACTACCTATTCTACTCTTTTGGTTCACAAAGAAAGTATTCTATTAGGCCCTGCAAAAACAAAGCTTCATGCCTGGCCTATTCTCTCAATAAGAAATAAAACATTGTTTTCATAGCAGTGCTGATAATAAGGCAGAGTTCAAAGCACGATGAAACATATACTTTTCTAGCAGAGAAAAACCTATAGTTACCTGACTAATTACCATCACGTGATGGCTGTGTGTATAAATATAGGCTTTTCACATGTGCACTCCCTGTGTAGGTTTCTTCTCTCCCTCTCTCTCTTCTTTCTTTTTTTTCAAACTGAGAATACTCATTTAGCTCCCATTGTTTTGTATTAATGTTTTCAATCAAAGATTTAAAAAAATAAGCACACATGAAAGCCAGCATTTTAAGGTAGCATCTTTGTGAAATTGTACTAAGTCTTAGTAGGTAGTCATTATATTGTAGAAAGACCATGGACTTTAAAATAAGACAGACCTGGATTGAAATCTCTGTTCTCTAAGCTGATGATCTTAAAGGTTTAATTCTGCTTTGATTGCTTATCTTTAGCACAGGGTTAATAATGCTTGTGCCATAAGACTGAAAGATTAGATCAGATCAGGTGTAGGAAGTCACAAAGCACACAGTAGGTGCACTTATTCACAATACTAGCTTTCCTTAGTCTTTCTTTTGGAAAGCAAATCTTTTAAAATTCTGTTTTCTTCCCATGAGAAACAAGCTGGACAGTCACAACATAAAAAGGATACCAAGATAAAGAGAACACCAATATGTGACCTCATCGATTTAATTCACAAACATTTAAGTTATCTATAAAGCATTGAAATTGATTAAAGTTTAAACAAGACTGATCTCAATTCTCTAAGGATCCAGAAAACCTTGAAGGTCATTTTGAAGTGCTTTTAATGTGAGTTTAAATGTTCTATGCTAAAATTTACCTAAGTATTTGTTGTCCTGAAAATCTTCTGCTCTGTTACTTCCTCTGATGACTTTTAGATGATAATTAACAGCTGATCCTAGTTGGTTAGAAATTTCAGAATTCCAGGAATTCCAAATGTATTTGGAATGATCACATGTAAAACGTGTATACTGCTGGCCTCTTCTACCCTTCTCTGGATGGGGTCTGGCTGGTCTTGTGGTTTATTGGCTCTGTATGGGTGAGTGTGTGACTATGCTTGTGTGTTTGTGGGATGGTCCTAACTGGGAAACTCTGGTCCTTAAGGTGTTTAATTGTTCCAGAAGAAACCAAACTACACTAGTGTGTGTTTTGTGTGTTGTTTTCTCTTGGAGGTTATGAGCAACAATGTGTGTGCATTAGAATAACCTAGGTATTCCTGCATAACAAACATCTCCAGAATCTTAATGACTTAACACAACAAAGGCTTATGTTTTGGTAGCCATGGTTCACTGTAGTTCACAGAAGTCTCCTGAAGAGAGTTTCCCACTGTGGTGGCTCTGCATTAGACTTTCCATGCCAATACATGCTCCTAGGGTCACACAGTAAAGGGATGAGAAGTGAAGGGTTGAGTACTAGCAATTAAATGTTTACACTCATTAATAACTCGCAGTAACATTCGTCACTTCCACACACATTTCAGTTATCAATTAGGTGATTAATTTCATGGCCATGTCTTACTTCAAGGAGATGGAGATATATAATCCTACCACATTCTTGAAATGAGAAGGGAATTAGATGCTAACATTAGTAATAACTCACATGTGCATTTAGGATAATGTGAATATCATACAATCATCAGTCTCAGGTTTGATATGAACTACAGATGATCTCATTACAAGATTTTAATTATGACATTTTTCCTGCATCTAATTTGCCTTAAATGTCCTCTGCAGAAATTTCAATTAGTTGACTTTTAAAAAATATTTTCAGTGATTGGCAATTCATTACTTAATGTGACAGTCCTACTCCATCTCTGATCCATTATTTTGTTAGGAATTTTTATTTTGATAAACTAAATTTGAACATGTGATTTACAGTATAAATCATTGTACTCTCTATATGCTATTTTTCCTAGTTCTTTTCTTATAACAACATAGAACAAATTAATTTTTTCTTGTTCTTGATCACATTTTAAATATTTGAAAATAGTTATGAGGCCTTTATAGTATTCTGTCTTTGTCCCCAATTTTCCCTTCTTTAAGGCAAATACCAATAAGCCCCAATCCCACATTCCTTATATCATGTGATTTCTAATTCTGTCACATCCTTGGTGGTGCTTATATAAAAATCTAAGTTGTCTCTGACCTCCCAAAGTATAACTACATTTGTCTATTTAAAGAAAAGGTTATACTTCAACCTGGTTTTTTCCCTTAATTTTACTCTTTTATGCAGTCCATGTAAAAATTTAAGCCATACAGGAGTAAAAATCTCCCTTTTCCTGCCCTTCAGTTCCACTCCTCCTCCCAGAAGTAACGCACTGCTAGCAATTGATGGTTATTCCTCCAGTTTATGTGTGTTTGTATGTGTGCATTTGTACATTGTTTGGCTAAGAAAGCAGGATCTTACTGTGTGCATTATTTTACAGCTTCATCTTGTCACTGGTTAACAGTAGTCTAGCACTCTGCTGTCCTGTATAGTAGCCACTTTCCACAAATAGCTGGTGAGCACTTGAAATGTAGTTACTGTGACCGAGAGTCTGAATTTTAAATTTTATTTAATTTTAATTCATTTCAATTTAAAATTAAAAACGGAAGCAGTGTTAATTTTTTTTAAACATAACCATTGTCTCAGTAGGCATATATATCACTTTAACTATTGAATATTTAGCATGCAAAGTGGATGTATTGTACCCCAGATTTCAAAAATGTAGCATAATGAAGAATGTGTTTCTCACTAATAATTTTTACATTGATCACATGTTGAATAGTATTTTTGATAGATTAAATAAAATATAATTACTTTGACCTTTTCCTTTAAATTTTTTAATGTGGCTATGAGAAAATTTAAATTATACGTGTTGTTCATTTTATATTTATATTGGACACTGCTGATCTAGAGAGATTTGGACAAATTCAATGTTTAGCCCAATCTTTTATTTTGAAGTAGAGTCACTATTTTACATACTGACTGCTTAATAAAGTTAAAGCATTATGTTTGCTGTGGGACAAATCCAGTCCTTGTCCTCAGGAGGTTACAATGTAGTAAAGCAGAGTTCGGCTTTCTGCGTGCATGCAGAGGTAAGTAAAGTGTCCTGGGATTAGGGAAAACGGCTCTGGAGAACTTGTTTTATCTGTGAGCCAACTTGCAAAAATGCTTGATGAGCAGCAACTGTGACCTGTTTCTTTGGAATAGTTTTATATATCTGGCTTTTTGGTAAAAGCGAGGAAATTCTCATCTGTGTATTCTTTCTAATCTGCCAGAATATTATTAGAAATGGAGGATCTCATAGTCATCTCTGACTTAGGTCTTGTTGAAAGGCCTATTTATCCCACTAGGAACTTGGACTTGGATCAAAATTGGCTTTCCAGATAGCAATGCTGTGCTTGATGCTATGTACTGACCCTTCACTGCCCCTGATAAATACTTGGTAGTTCAGATCAAGGCTGTCAGGCTAGCAGAAGAAAACATGTACTGTGTATTCCGTGTTGAAATTCCTAATATTCAGTCAAAGCTCTAGCACTTCACCAAGAAAACTTTCTGAGATGTTGAAGGGACAATAATGAAGCTCAAGGCTCTTTCTTGATTTATTTGGACTTCGTGAATTTCATTTGTTTCAAAACTGTGAAGCCTCCTCATGTCTATCAATGCAAGCTCTAGCAATAAAAGGCTATCAGTTGAATCTCAAAATGTTAAGTCCTTTAGCTTCTCATTGGATGTCCATTCATCACAGTAATATTTTCATGCAGTATCACATTCTTAGGGTATAACCTACAAGATAAGAAAAAAGTTAGCAATTTTCTATCACAAATGATAGAGCTTTTCCATGAAAATGTCAACTTTCTGCCTAGTTACATTGCAAATGGGACTACTGTGGTTAATCAAATAAATGCATATAAAACAATTTCTCCCCAAGGTAGTGTTATTGGTAGATCTCATAAAATCATGGAATTCATCTTGGGCAGAACTTTCTGGCTGAATAAAATTTCTGTCTTATCTCTGGTCTAGGAGAGAGGGTAAGGAGGGAATAAAATCTATACTACAGACAGTGATTCAGAGTTTGGAAGGTGGCGTATTGATAATTGTCATCTTTAACTCTACCTCCAAAAAAACTATAACTTAGACTACAAGTCTAGTGTCTAGACATTCTTCTGGGAAGTAATGTGAGTCTTGGATTCTTGATTAGAAACTGCTGGATACATTCCCATGGGGATAGCACCCCTTCCCAAATCTGCATGACAGAATTCTGTATGTAATCTAAGATATGTAAATACACATTTTCTCAGATCATTCATGACATTCATCTGATTCTGAGAGGATCATATAATTAAAAGGTTATGAAACACTTTGTAAATGCCTAATTATCAGTACTCCTCTCCCTAAAAAGCTACTCAGACATTTCAGAGACGTTTTATTTTCTGTATTTTCCCAGTAGTCTGTGCGCATATGATAAGGAGAACAGACAGCTGGATTTGTCTGTCCTAGCGGTGCTTCACCTTCTGAGGGTGGCACAGATGCTGTGGAAGCTAAAGAGCCCTATGAACTCTCCCTGAGGAAAACATCTACATCCATAGAATCTGAGTGACATTTGAAAACATTCATGAGTCCCTTCCTGAAATCAGTGCCTTTGCTCTTGGTTAAAGACAGCTGGTTGGTTCCCTTTGACAGTACAAAACCATGGAGCTATGAAGAAGAAAAGCAAGGGTGATGTGTTTGCACGCACAAGGTTGGTGGGTCTCCACTTTCCGACAGTTTCAGGCATGGGGAAGGAAGGCATGCCTCACTCATCTCATATATTTTTATTTATACTTTCATATTATAAAGTATGAAGCCAGGTGGACGCTAGATAATACTTGCTTTCTACTGTCTGGAGGATCTGGCTCTGTTCCGTACACATCGTATCTTCATCAATGACTTCCTCTATATAGTGCTCAAAGGGCTCTCACAAACAGTGGCCCACAAAGACACCTTTTGATAAAGTAGAGCTCCTTTTGCAATGGAAGTTATTTTCTGTGGGTCAATTTTTATACATCAGGTTTCATTAAATGAGCCCTGCTTCAGGATTCTTTTGAAAGTCTTTTGTCTCTTCTAACAGCAATGTGTTTATTATGTGAATCAATCTCACATTTAATATTCTAAATATTTATAAAAGAATGAATTTTGTCTGTAAAGCATGCTACCTACTGTTTTTGGTCTAAAGGTGGCCTATTTCTGGGAACTTGATTTGAAGCCCAAGATAAAAAACTTTTTTCTAAACCAGGCATGGTGGCACACATCTATAATCCCAGTACTTGGGAGGCTGAGGCAGGAGAATCACTTTGAGTTTGAGGCCCATTTGAATTACATCGTGAGTTCAAGGCCAGCCTGAACTATATAGTGAGAACCTGTCTCAAAAAAGCAAAAAACAAACAAACAAACAAAAAAAAACCCCAAACCCAAAAGAAAACCTTTTTTCTCTAATCAGAATCCTGTCTGCTATCTACTAGATAAAACTACCTAAAGAGAAAGAAATGAGGGTTCCCCAATCTTTTAACCCAAGATGTTTCGTGGCATGTAGTAGGTACTCAGTGCATGTGTTGGACGAATGGATGGATGACTAGATTTAAATCTGATGCTTAGAAGCAACATAATATCATGGTAAGAGCTTGGAAGTTTGGCCGGCTTGGACTTGGACCCTAGATCCCAAATGTCTAGCTTTATGATCTTTGGCAAGTTGCTGAGTTTTGGTTTCTCATCACCTACAAAATGGGTGTATAATTCCTACCTCATTGGGATTTTGTAGTATTTAACAACATATTGAATTCCAGGTGCACAGAAAAGTGTTAGGTGCAATAAAGCATTTGGTAAATGATAGCATTACTAAAGTCTGCAGCTTTAAATTAGGATATCCTAGACTTCAGTCATTGGTAAACCAACCTCACAATTTTTACCATACCAATAGTTGAGAGTTTTATTATTTACTTAATTTGTCCTTTAGAAAATTTCTATTTTACTTCAATAACTTTATTTTAAATAGGAATTTTTTATCACTACTGTAAATGGAAAGCCAGTAGGATTTGCTATAAATAAGGGTGAAAAAATATGTAATTCTTAAAATACAAAATGTTTATCCATGCACCACCCAAAATTGACTTGCAGACCACTAGTGTACACCACACTTAAATTCATTTCCTTTGGGGCTTTTTTTCTGGGGCAAGAGCCTTGTCTAGGTCACTGATAGCAATGGGACACTCTTACCCCATGCAAGCCTTCTGTCTGTAACAGGCTATGAAGGGCTGGACCAGTTGCACTGACTGAATCTATAGCCTCAGAAGCCTAACTGCCACACAGATGTGAAGTCTCAAATAGTGTACCATACACCTGCCTCTTTGTGGATCAGCCAGCGTTCACTGAGCACCAGTGGTTAAACATTGCAAGACCAGTGGAAAGACATGAACCTTACCTTCAAGATGCTTGGACTCTTACAGATGGCTTAATACTCAGCTCCTGACTTGGACTGGGGACCTAAGAATCTCAGTTTGGGCAGTTTGTAAATATACAGAGCTGTATATAGTAGGGAAAAGTGTCATTGCTATTACCACCCAAAACTGTAACCTTGCAAAACTGAGTCCTGGGTAAAATTAGTTTACACAGAAATTTGTCTCATCAAAAGTGATTTGCCAAGCTTGAATCCTTCATATTGGCTAGATTGGAACAAGTCACTTGCCTAAGCATTGAACTTCAGCTAAGCAAAATCAGCTCTGATTTAAAAGGGAGTGTCCTTTAGCAGCATGCAAAAAGCTAAGGTGAAGGCTCACATCTGTGTTGTGTTGCTTAATTGGTAAAAGCTGAAGCCCTGCTGAAAAGAGCCACATCACCTACACTATTCTCCTAGTCGTTTAAATATGTGTGCCATGCTTTCAAGTACTTGTTAATGTCTCACCAAGCAGATTGATAATCAGAATATTACATGTGGCTTGAGAAATGAGGCTGGATGCATTGGCTAGACAGACTCCAACTGTGGGGAAGACCATCTTCCATTTGACTGTGCTCCACTGTGTTACACTGTGAAAGAAAAAGAGAATTTAGCCGAGTGTTCAGCTGTTGGCTTGAGATACCACAGTTCTGAATACAAATACTATAAAGACAAATGAAGCAATAAAAGAATAGTAATATAAAATACTGGGCAAATAAACTCCTGAAGTTTGTGCTGGAAGTATTTTTCTCATCTATGAGCAGTACTTTAATCCATTGACGAATAGTATTAGCTGTCCATTGAAGACGCCGTAAAGCATTTATGGTCTTAGAGTAAATGATTGGTAATTATGACTTAGAAAACTATAAATACATGGGAGGGATTTGGTGATATCACAACAAATCACGAGAGAAGCTAGAGTGGTTTCTAATGTTAACAGAACCTCAAGAAATATTCGGAGCATATTTGTAGTACCACAGTTGAGTTTTTTACTGGGGTGAGTGTGAGACTGGTGTTTTATTGCAAAACAAGCAGCTCTTTTGCATGTGGACTAGTGGGAGCCTCCTGAGTGAGATCAGGCCCTCCATTTGTATAATGTATGACCTTTTCAGCCAAAGAAAATACATCAAAGAAAAGCACAACCTTCTCTCCTATCTCCTTCTTCCTCCCCTAATTTCTGATTTTTTTCCTTTAAATGAGTTTTGTGTAAGTGAAAAAAAAAAGTGCCAAAGGACCCTGAATTTCTCAGCTGTTTGTCCCAGTTCCTCTAGTTTCGCACCCATGTCAGTCTAAAAAGTGATCCATTGAATATTCCATTCTAGTGCTCGGTTTCCCTGCTTGTTACCTTCTGGTCTGCTGATGGAGGAGACATTGAAAGGGGCACCAACCCACACTGGCCTGCTGGTGTGACTCACAGCCTCAAGAAGAACCACATGTCAGGGAGGCAACAAGTGCCAGATTGCACTCAGAACATAGCCTTGAGACATCACAAAAATGTCTCAGATGAAGACCCTACAGGAAAGCTGGCCAGGCAGTGTCATCGCCCTGCAGGAAGAGCTTGGCAGGGCACCCTACTGAGTGAGGTGCAAGTCTTTGTAAAGCCTATTAGTCTCATAGAAAGTTCCACACAAAATAGTGTATGCCAGGTGCTGGAATGTTGAGAACGACTTGCCGCATGACAAGTTCACTCTTGAATTCTATGCCTGTATCTAGGTTTCAGGAGACTTCAGTCCCCTTGACTACACATATTTCTTGAGCTCCTGCTCTGTGAATTTGCTACATTGTACTCCACACAAGGCACTGGGAAGGACACCAGCCATGTGGCCCAAATTCTTACAGCCTTGGTGGAATTAGCAAGAGTCACTTAAAGGAGCTTACACACAAGGACTCATGTGCCTGGTATGAAAAACATGGCCAGCATCTGCCCCAGAGTAATTTTATTTAGGCACATTATAGTGGTCCTCAAATCTCTTAGATTTGTACCTTTCCTGATTCTGAAGCCTAGGGTCAAACAACAGAGTCCAACTTACTGGATAATCAGATGGTGGAGGTGTGGAATGGGCCACATTAACAACTGGAGGTCACAGGCAGCACGAGTCAAAATGGACACAAACCTCCAGGCTGGAACAGCAACCAGGGACCCGATGTGTGTCAGGAGTTAACCCTTCTCTGCCTGGACTCTGGTGTGGGCCAGATCTAGCCTGACGTGAACAGGCTGAAGGGCAGCCTCCCCTGCAGACCTGATGTCAGTGAGTTAAGTGAGGTTTAATTCCATCTAGATTCCATTTGTAGTTTACTGCAATCCCACCCTACAATGCTTAACTGCTCTTCAAAATGCACCAACTAAAAATAGTTTCATCTGCAGTGTGAACATAGTTTCATATTTATACTAGCATCTGGCCTAAGGAATTGAATACTCCATTCTTTAAATAGCTTCACACCAGCTCTGGAATACTATGAGATGAAAATCTCCCCCAGTTAAACACCTTGTTTACATAGACATGTTTAAACACAAACAAGCTCCCTTTTTAAAATGCAGAAGAATATTAACTTGGGAGTTGATGGTGCTTCCGGGTTGTCGTTTTGGGAACTGGAAGAACAGGATTGAGTAGAGAATAAATTTAAAATACATTCATTTAGTAAAAGATTTCAGAGACATCTACTCTGTTTAAAAATTTTCCTAAATTTGATCTACAAACATGTCAATCATGAGTGTGAATTTGGAATGCCTTCTATACCATCATATGTGAGTCAATTACAATGAATTTCTTGGGCTGAAAAAAATTATGATGCTGCTAATATCCAACAATAATAGAAATATAAACCTAGATATACCTTACCTTTTTCTACCAACAAATGCTTTGGGGCCGGAAATCATTTGCCAGCAGGCAGTGAATGTAGTTTTGTTAGTCTTAGGGGGGTACTAATGGTTAGTCCCCATGAAGAAAAATGTGAAAATAACACACTAAAAGGTAAACATTATGAATGGATGGCTAATGATTAGCTGTTATAGTCCAAAGGGGCAGGATATGTTTTTTATAGTTTTATGACCCTTGCCCAGCCTTTACTGAAAGTACATTGTATATTCAGAATTATATATTTTAAACCTATACCTCCTTTGAACATCCTTCTTTAAAGATAATAGGAAACATCCTCCATGTTCCTTAGTATGTTAGAAAGACAGAGAGAATTTTAAAATGTATATTGGTTTTAACATTTATTAAAGAAGAGGAACAGACACTTGTTTTCAAAAATCCAATTTATCAACCCACAGAGTGGAATATAATAACACACCTTTAACCTCCAGCAACCCCAACCATCCTGAAAAGAAGTAACTGTTCAAGGTAGTATGATTACTCTGACAAGCAGATGTGTTAATATTCAGTACACTACTCCTATGGAATAGTCAAGATACATCCCCCTCTGAAGTGAATGGCTTTTGTGTGTGAAGCCCAATTCACAAACAATAATTTCTTTTTCTATTTAAAACAAAAAGTGGGGCTGGGGATTTAGCTCAGTGGTTTCACTGCCTGCTGTGCAAGCACAAGGACCCGAGTTCGATCCCCGGTACCAAAAAAATAAAAAATA